CTGCTTGTCCCGCCTATACTATACTTCCTGCCCGGCTACTGGCCAATCAGCAGTTTATTCATCAACTAAATCAGAGCAACACACATTCACAGCATACAGAAAGACATCCCCAGCAGTGTGTTCGTGTATGTTCATATATATGCAGATGCATGAAGGAGCCAGCAAACAGCCTTGGATGTCATTCCTCAGGAGCCCTTCACCTGCCCCCTCCCACCCCCACCCCCCCCTTTTTTTTTTGAGCCAGGATCTCACTGGCTCGGACTCATCAGGTACCTTAGGCTGGCTAGTCAGGAGGCCCCAGGGATCTGCTTCACGTCTCTACAATTGTGTGCCACCACACCTGGCTTTGCTTACGTAGGTTCTGGGGTCAAATTCGGGTCCTCATGCTCACAGACTGAGTATTTCCCTGACTGAGCTATCTCCCTATGCTGGGCAGCATGACTTTTGAGGCATGAACATGACAGGGGCCATGGGGACTCTCGGCTCAGCATGCTGATGTGCTCCATGAGGAATCTAGGCACCTGTGGTTCAGTAGGCACTGGTGGCCCCTGTCTTGGAGACCTTCCCTGGGCTGGCACATTCATCTCACAGCTGCTGAGAACACCGACCACTGACAGCTCCCGACTTTTCTCCCCAGGAGAAACACCTCTCCCTCACCTTCCCCCACCAACTGTGCACCCCAGCCTCGGTGGCAGTGGCTTGCAATCACTGGCATGGAATACAAAAAGCCTTCATCCTCCTTTTGCAGAGAGCCCCATGACACCATCCATACCCCTCAGCTCCACAAGGATGAGGCTTACACTAGACTTCAGCTGAACACACCCCCTCCCACCCTCTGACCTTTAACTTATGTTTTTTAGAGAGTCTGCCTCAGTGACTGCCTAGGACAAATTTCTGTATCTCAGACTTCTCTAGGGAACCCAGCCAAAGTCACATTACAGGGGGCGCCTTCTGGAAAACGCAGCGCTATGTGACTTCGTCCCCCTGAACACAGTGTCTGCTCACACAAAGTCAGCTGACTCCAGTGTGGCTAGGTGATTGGCATCTGAAGTGACACCATCATGGATGCTGTCACAGAGCGTGGCTAGGTTCTTCATGCAGGTTTTGGGCTGCAGGTATACCACCACCAGGCTCAGGGTTTGGGGTTCCCTGACTTCAGATTCAGCATAGGACAGTCTTCAATGTCCCAAAGGTCAGCAGCGGCAGGACAGAGACTCCTTGGATAATTGAATTCTAAGTTGCAGGGAAAGGCCAAAGCCGTACTGGCGTTTCCGGGGCAGATCAAAGGGGGTTATTTGTGACCATCCTGGTTGTGCTTTTGCCCAAAGCTTTTCCAATTAGAGAAAATGAAATCAATGCTCAGGGGTGAACTCACACAGAAGGAGGGTCACTAATGACTCACTGGAAGGAGCCGTAGTGAGTAAATTAAATGGGCCTCACCATTCCTGAGGCCGTGATTTGTCCGGCTCCAGCCGATGCTGTAAAATTGCCACGTTTGATCAAGAAACATGCAGGTTTTATGTGAAAGAGGTTTGTGACAGAGTTATGTACAGAGGAGGAAAAAAAATTCTGAAAATTCACCAGTGTCTCAAGCAAAGCATTGGCTGGAGGGTCCTGGAAACGTTGGGAGATGAAGACAAATCAGTCCTCCAGAATACATCATGGAAGAAGAGTTAACCACTGACTCGTTTTAAGCACACATTGTTAAATGACAAAGGACAAGTTGTACAGTAGTAGAAAGGCCCGTGGAAGGTCATAGAATTCCGGAGTCGATTGAATTGGAATCCTGGGTTTGCTATGCTTTGCCGAAGGAATCTAAGAATCTTTAAACTGATGAACAATTAATTGACTCAGATGATCAACGGAACACTTCATAAATCTTTGTCCAGAGGAGAAGCGAGGAAATGGTTTTCATTTTTGACGAGGGTTGAATGCAGGACCTCTCACATGCTAAGGCTGCTCTCCGCCCATGAGCTCCATCTCAGCCCCTAAAATACATTGGAGGAAATTTTTCCTCCCATCTCACTGCAAAGAGGTAGAATTCTAAGGACAGACTCTAAATTATTTATCCTAAAAATCACAGCAATCAGGTAAAGTGTGACTACCCCATTTTGGAATCTAACACTGACTATGTTGTTAGGCACATGACGCATCCTGACTAATGACCTGCCTGTGGGCTGTCTGGCTGTCGTCTGTCTGTCTACACCCCATGATCCTAGCAACTCTCCGAGACCACTGCCCTTCGGCTGGGGTTGGACAGTTGGGAGGTAGGCAGGGGAGCGAGTGTAGGGGAGTGACAGGGATCAGAAGGTTTCTTCCCCTGGTCCCTCTCTCCCTGGTTAGTTGCATGCTCCGACCCCAGAACACAGCTCCTGGCGGGCAGCCTCTCCCATCATGCCCTCTACTCATGATGCCATTGCCCCCCATAGTTTAGTCCAGGAGAACTCCAGTTCAAAACCTCTAACTGGACCCTTTGCAGGGAGGGGTATGGTCCTGCCTCCCACCACTGCCCTCAGAGCCCTGCAACCAACCCTGCCTTCCTTCTTTGTAGACAGCCTCCTTATTAAACTCACCCCTTCTTGCCCGTAAAGACAGAGGCTGCATCCTAAAGTTGAGGAGACCTTTCCGGGAGACAACACACAGAAGGGCGCCGATAATAAAAGTTATGTATTGAGCCTCTCAGTTCAGTTTCCATAAAGCTTGCTGGGGTGGTTTGGATGGAAATGGCCCCCATAAGCGCATAGATTTGAATGCTTGGCCCATAGGGGGTGGCTCTTAGGAGGTGTGGCCTTGTGGAAGGAAGTGTGTCACTGGGGTGGGGGTGGGCTTTGAGGCTTCAAATGCTCAAGCCAGGCCCAGTGACTCCTGCCCTTCCTGCTGCCTACCAGTCTAGAGGTAGAACCCTCAGCTCCTTCTCCAGCACCATGTCTGCCCATGCACAGCCATGCTCCCCGCCATGATGATAATGGACGAAACCTCTGAACTGTAAGCCAGCCCCAATGAAATGTTTCCCTTTACAGACACCCTGACTGAGACACTTGCTGATATAGTATAAGGTGAGGAGACCAGGTTCAAATCCTCCCAGCCCTGTGCTACCAACTCACCCAAGGGGTGGACACCTCTGCTCACAATTAAAAGTTTAATTGAGATACGAGTGAGCACACATACGTTTGTTCAAATGGCATCTAAACCCTGCTACGGCAAAGTGGCAGCAGAGTCGAGCGGTGACAACAGGCCGTAACTTAAGACACCTACCACCTGGCTCATTTTGGAACAAGACTGGCTGACCCCAAGCCCAGTTCCTTTACCTGAAGGAGAGAGCTATTAATGGACTCTCCTTATTGTTGTATTTCGCTCGGAACCCCTCCCTTCTCCTCTTTCAATGTGGCGAGCAGTGCTATTTCCATTTGGGAAGAATTTTAAGGTCTGGTCTTTGGGGTGAATTCTCTGTGAATTGCACCCCCCCCCAAGTGACTAGCATAGGATTGGAGGGCTTAGGGCAGAGAGAAGGACCACGGGGCACAGGTTAATTCCTGTAAAATGAGAATCTTGGTGCAAACAGATTCTTTGGGTTCTCCGACTGCATGATGGAAAACCCAGCTTCGTTCTTTTATTAGGCATGGAGATAAATAGATTTCCTTTAAGCGTTATAAAGAAATAAATCCCCAGCTAGACCCTGTTACTAAACCACACATCTCTAGGCCTGTGGTTGGACAGACACATACATCAGAGGAATTAGGTTTTGCCTTCTGATACCTCCAGGCTCAAATCGTTTGAAGGCCACTCACGTTGGTCAAGCGAGTTAATTTTACCTACCCAAAGGGGCTAGAATCATCTACAACAAAGTTATGATGAGATTTGAATAGGATCATGTATGCAGCACCCTTGGCTAGGACCTGCGGCTTGTTTGGCATTCAGAAATGGCTTCAGCTACTTATTAATGCATTAGTATTTTTTTTTGTTAATGTGTCATTTATTTATTCAAGATATTATTATTGTTACAGGTTGCTCCCGACTCCAGTTATCTCACATTTTGGGGGGTATTTGTGTGGATTTATTCACGAGATACCCTAAATTCCCCCAATCCCAAATCCATGTTTCAAACCCCAATGTTTTTATGTATGTGGTATGTGAAGGTGTGTGGGTACCCGCGTGTGGGGTGCACATGTGTGTGTGAGCGCGGAGGAAAGAGATTGATGTCGGTTGTCTTTCATCCTCCATCTCATATACTGAGGCAGGGTCTCTCACTTGAACCCATGGCTCACTCATTCAACTAATTTAGCTAGCCAGCTTGCCCCAGGGGACCTCCTGTCTCCATCTCCTAGGCTCTGGTATTACAAGTTGGCCATCACACCTGCCCAGCATCAACATGAGTGCAGGGGATTTGAACTCTGGTCCTTATACTTGTATGGCAAGCCTTTGACCCACTAAGCTATCTCCACCCCCCAACCCCACCCCACCCCAGTCAATGGTCCCCTCCCACCATAGGAATTGAACCTAGGGTCTCATGCATGCTAGGCAAGTGCTCTGCCACTGAGCTACAGTCCCAGCCTCCAATCCCAAACTTTCCAGCACTACCTTGACATGCTACAGTTTGCCATTTGGAAGCAGATCGGATTTCAGATTTCTGAATTCAGACTGTCTGTGTTCTGATAATCATGCATGCCCAGCTGTGGCACCAGAGTCCACTGCTGGCTAATACAACCCCAGACAGCAAGCAGACCCAACCGGACAATGGTGGCTCTGAATGAATGGTCTCTTGTTTTATCTCCCCACAAACTGTGGGTTGGACCTAGCTTTAGTACCCAGTGTCTGACATGATGCCAGGCACTTAGAAAATCTTCAGGAAGCCTCACCGGCTTGGCCAAACTGTGTAGTCCTCCCACCTGGGGCTCTGAGATCATTCGGATGAACACAGCAGAATCAGACAGGGTGTACAAACACTTTCCCCATCCCTGGCTTCCTCCTGCTCTCCTGGAAGGCTCCTGGCTTTTCATGAGGGCCCCCAGAGCCTTTGCAAATGGAAGCTCCCCGCTGGCTCCCCAGCTGCCCTGTACCAGCTCTTCCCTTCCCCGCCCAGTGAACATCTGCCTTGTGTCCCCAGGGAGCCGAGAGTCTGCAGCAATGCAATCTAAAGCCTGACAATATTGATATTGATTTTTTGACCAGACTTCTCACCTAAGCTCCTTCCTCTGTCATTCTCCTTCATTATAATGTACCAAGGACTTTCTGGAAGGTTCTAATGCATACTTTTTTTTTTTTTTTTGGTCAGGAATAGGATGAGGAGGGGGAGGCAGGGTATCTGTGGCAAAGAGGCGAAGGGAGAAAATACATTCTCTTTCAAGGGACAGTCAGACAGGGACAGATCCAAACAATGACCAGACCATTCTCCTGGGGGAATGATGACAGCCGCTTCCAACTTATCACACTCGGGGACTATATTAAGGCCCCAAGATTACGGCAAACTTCATTGAGGGAACATCTGTTAGGAATCAGTGTGAAGCGGCTAGATATGATGGCTGAGAACACAAGCTGGGGGCGGGGGGAAGAGGGAGGTCACTTCCTTGCAGGGAAAAGGTACAGGAGACACCATCCCCGATGGTTCTGGCTAGTGGTGGCTCACCTCCCCAGCCCCCCTCCCCCAAGCTCACCGCATGCACCCAGCGGATCTTAGTTTAAGGGCAATCAGAAGCATCTACGGAGATGTAAGATGCACCTGCGATCCCATATGCCAGCGGAAGTTCAGGCAGCGAGAAAAGACCCCAGTGTATGCCAGGTCCAGAGGCAAGTTTTCAATGGATATGATTTCCGTTTTCCCGCATGGGAGCCCTGAGAGGAGAGGTACAGAGCGTCACTCCGCACCCCCCCAGCACCCCCCCCCCCCCCCCCCCCCCCCCCCCCGTGCAGCTCTAGAAACTGAGGCTCAGGGAAGCTGAAGACTTCACATAGGTTGAGTGTCTAGAGATCCCTGGGTGTGATGACCCACCCACCGCCCTGGCTTTACCCAAAAGGCATGGTCTCCGGGGCTGCAAAGCATTCCGCATTCTTGGGGCTGGAGAGGCAGCAGCTTGGTGGGTGGTTAAGAGCACTGGCTGCTCCTGTAGAGGGTCGAGATTCAGTTTCCGGCGCCCACATGGTGGCTCACAACCATCTGTAACTCCAGTTCCAGGGAATTCATGTCCTCTTCTGACCTCTTTGGGCACCAGGCATGCGTATGGTGCAGAGACACATATGCGGGCACTCACACACATGCTATAAAAATAAAATAAAATAAAATAAAAATTAAAAGAAATTTGAAACTCTCATCCTCACTGTGGTCCCGGGCACACTAGACGAGCCTGGACTTTGAACTTCCGTCTGCCTATTGTTCAGAGTGTGTGTGTGTGTGTGTGTGTGTGTGTGTAGTGTGTAGTGTGCATGGAGGCCACCATTAGTGTCTTCTCCATTCACCTCTCCACCTTATCCTTTGAGATAGGATCTCCCACTGAACCTGGAGCCCACCCACTGGCTAGACTAGCTGTCCAGCGAGCCTCCAGGGAGCCTCCCATCTCCGTCTCCCCAGCACTGAGAACCCAGGTGTGCACTGCCCCGCCCCCTGGCATGTTATCTCCCATGGCTTCTGGGGAATTGAACTCAGGTGCTCTTGCTTGTACAGCAAGCGCCATCCTAACTGTCTTCCCTGTCCGCCCACACCCCATCCTTCCCCCTCTGCTCATTCCCTCAGTTATGACATCTGCGTATTTATAAATACTATGTGTGACAGCTCTGGGACAGCCGCGAAGAAAACAAAAAAAAAAGTCAGTGAGCGGGCTCCTGCCTAGGGATCTGCCCTTGTAGTGACACGTCATGATATTGCCCCCAGCCGGACTTTGCATTCTCCCGAGACAGGCTGTGCCAATCATCCCCAAAAATGGGAACTGTCCCCATGGTTACTAGGGTTCTCGGCCCTGCAGATTTCTGAAAAGGATGAGTAGCCCTCTAGGAGGGTGCACACAGGAGGTGCACATCAGCTCCCTCACATGCCCCCTGCAGTGGAGAGATAGGATGTCCCTCAAAGTGCTCACAGCAAGGACGCTTATACACAGGGAGCTTGGCTTTGGCAGATTGGCCAGGTGTGACTCCCTGAAACCCAAGAGTCTTAAGTTGTGCGTAGATGCACCCTGTGTTCTGCGGTACCCTAGAAGGTCTCTGAACTCAAACTCACACGTGTCTCCCCTCTCGGTTTGTGTGGTCTATAGAAGGGGGGACGTGGAGAAAAGCAACTGACCCACTGCATGTTCCTAGAGGGAGATGCAGACGGTGGAACGAGCTGGCCCAGAGGAACCAACACAGATGTCCATCTGGTCCCTTGATTGCTCTTCTCTGTCCCCTTTTATCTATGTATCGGTGTTTTTTTTTTTTTTCTTCAAAAAAAAATATCACCATTAAGGGAAATTCTCATGATATAAAAATAACCCACTTTCAGATTTACAATCCAGTGGTGTTCGTTATATCCACAGCATCTCAAAGTCACCATTTCTGTCATGTCCCAAAGGGTTTCCATCAATCTAAAGCGAAGTCGCTTACCCATCCAAGCTCTCACTCTGTCCTCTCAGACACCTGGCAGCCACCAGCCAGCCCACTTCTTGTCTCTAAGGGTGTTATTCACAACTGCAACAGACTTCTTTACACTTGTGCGTGTGTTAGTATGAGTGTGTATGAGTGTGTGTGTGTGTGTGTGTGCATGTGTGTGCATGCGCACATGCATGCCAGAGGGCAAGTGTGGAGGTCAGAGGACAACTTGCAAAAATTGGTTCTCTCCTTCCTCCATGTGGGTCCCAGGGATTGAACTCAGATCTTGGCGGTGAGCGCCTTTAACCACTGAGCCATTTCACCGGACTTATCTATGCATTGCTTACTTTTTTTTTTTTTTTTTTTTTTTT